GAAAGAAATACTGAACCGTTGGGATTAATCCATACTGATGTATGTGACTTGAAGTTTGTGCAAACAAGAACGGGTAAAAGATATTTTATAACATGTATTGATGATTGCACAAGGTTTTGCTACTTATATCTTTTAAGAAGCAAAGATGAGGCTGTGGAAGCTTTTAAAAATTATAAGACCGAAGTTGAAAATCAACTCGACAAAAAGATTAAAATAATCCGAAGTGATAGGGGTGGGGAGTATGTAGCTCCTTTTGAACAAATATGTTCTGATTATGGCATAATTCATCAAACGACGGCCCCCTATTCTCCACAGTCGAACGGTGTTGCGGAACGCAAGAACCGGACTTTAAAAGAGTTGATGAACGCCATGTTGATAAATTCAGGATTACCCCAGAATATGTGGGGGGAAGCTGTTTTAACAGCAAACCATATTCTAAATAAAATACCACCTAAAGGGAAAAATGAGACACCTTACGAAATGTGGAAAAATCGTAAGCCGTCTTATAAGTACCTGAAAGTGTGGGGGTGTTTGGCTAAGGTTTCAGTTCCTGAACTAAAACAAATGAGAATCGGACCTAAGACAGTCGATTGTATTTTTATTGGATATGCATACAATACTGCATATAGATTTCTGGTTCATAAATCAGAAAATCCGGAGGTATCGGTTGGTACCACTATTGAGTCGAGGAATGTTATATTTTTCGAGAATATTTTTCCTTTGAAGGAAAGGGCAGAATCTAGTTCTAACAAAAGGACGTATGAAACTGTTAGCGGTTCTGTACCAGATGGTACTAAAGATAAAGAAGAAGAACCGAGACATGGTAAAAGGGTAAAAACGGCAAAAATGTTTGGACCTGATTTTATTACGTATATGTTGGACGATGAACCGAGTTCTATTAAGGAAGCTCTATCTAGCCCAGATGGACCACTTTAGGAAGAAGCTATAAATAGCGAAATCGAGTCCATTATGCAAAATCATACTTGGGAGTTGGTTGATCTCCCTGCGGGTTGTAAATCTTTAGGATGCAAGTGGATCCTAAAAAGAAAATACAAAGTTGATGAAACGATTGATAAGTTTAAAGCAAGATTAGTGGTCAAAGGCTTTAAACAAAAAGAAGGGTATGACTTCTTTGATACCTATTCACCTGTGACGCGTATAGCGTCAATTAAAGTGCTTCTCTCTATTGCTGCTTTGCACAATCTTGAGATTCATCAAATGGATGTCAAAACGGTATTTTTGAATGGTGAATTAGAAGAAGAGATTTACATGGAACAACTCAAAAGTTTTGTAGCACCTGGACAAGAGAAAAATGTGTGCAAATTGATCAAATCCTTGTACGGACTTAAACAAGCTCCGAAACAATGGCATTTGAAATTTGATGACGTGATGTTGTCAAATGGATTCAAAATCAATGAATGTGACAAATGTGTTTATGTCAAAAGCACATCAAATACATATGTAATTGTATGTCTATATGTAGACGATATGTTGATCATGGGGAGTAGCCATGACGTGATCATGGATACGACACGAATGTTGAAAAGAAATTTCGACATGAAAGATATGGGTTTAGCTGATGTAATTCTTGGAATAAGAATTATCAGAGCCCAAGATGGAATTATCTTGTCACAATCTCATTACGTAGAGAAAGTGCTCAAGAAATTTAATGCCTATGAAGGTCCTTTGTCTAGGACACCCCTTGATCTTAGCATAAATCTAGAAGCCAATAAAGGTCAACCAGTTGCTCAATTGGAATATTCACAGATAATAGGGAGTCTAATGTACTTGACGAACTGTGCACGACCAAACTTGGCCTATCCGGTGAATAAGTTGAGTAGATTTACGAGCAATCCCACTCATGAGCACTGGAATGCTTTGAAAAGGGTACTAGAGTACTTAAAGTACACCCTTGGATACGGGCTAAAATACTCGAGATATCCAGCAGTACTTGAAGGATATTGTGATGCAAGCTGGATATCGGATTCGAGAGATTCTCACTCCACAAGTGGATATGTCTTCTGTATCGGAGGATGAGCTGTTTCGTGGAAGTCCACAAAATAAACATGTATAGCTCGGTCAACCATGGAGTCGGAGTTCATCGCTTTAGATAAAGCTGGTGAAGAAGCCGAGTGGCTTCGAAACTTTTTATCCGATATTCCATGTTGGAATAAACCTTTGTCGCCTGTGATGATTCACTGTGATAGCCAAGCTGCTATAGGAAGGGCACAAAGTAATATGTACAATGGTAAGTCTAGGCATATTCGTCGTAGACATAATACCGTTCGCCAATTGATCACAAATGGTATTATTTCCATTGACTACGTAAAGTCTAAGGAAAATTTGGCTGATCCTTTTACTAAAGGATTGAATAGAGATCAATTGGGAATACTCCTAGAGGGAATGGGATTAAAAATCCACAATGAAAAGAATGATCATAGTGGGAACCCTACCTTGCTGAATGGAGATCCCATAAACTTGGTTCAAGGGGAAAACTAAACTATG